CGGCATATCGAAACGCAAGACAACCACATCGGGTTTATCACAAAATAATTAAAATCAGAACTTGAAGGCGGACTCATGTCCAGGCCCTCAAAATTGAAAGGCATGAATTTCCAACACTTTGCCATGAGTAGGACACCGTAGTAAGAAAAATTGCGAAACAACAAGAAGACATGAGCATAAACGCTATCTGAAATTGAGCTCACATAAACTCAACCGCGGCCATTATTGCTGTGTTTATTTCCGGTTCTCTCCCTCACACACAGGAAGAGTTGATGGCGGTTGGTCAGAGTGGGGAGACTGGGATGACTGTACTGTAACTTGTGGGGGTGGTAGACAATTTCGTCAACGCACCTGTTCAAACCCACCGCCATCAGGAGGCGGAAACATCTGTGCAGGACTGCCTTTTGAGTCGCAATCTTGTAACGTGAATCCGTGTCCAGGTACGTTGTGTTTAATATGGAATGATGACACGAGGTAAATATAAAATAAAGGAATTCGTGAATCGCAAGGAGACTAAAATTACATAGTTCAGACGGGTACCTGAAGAAGTCTGGTTAAAGTACACAATTTCAAGTCATTCTACGCTGTATCGGTCTCTGCTTTTAAAAAGTTCCTCATTTATGTGTTAAGCCGATTAGATTACTATTGATCCAACGTATACCACCAGTAGGATCATCATCCACGGTTCAGTGCTGCTTGCTTGAACATTTATGAATACATAGATTACTGAAGAACTTATAGGGGTAACACTCATATTCACTCAGTAGCGCTCGCTACCGTTAAAACATTAAAACATTAACAGTTAAGAGAGCAGCTAAGGGATTAAAACTAAAATTCTCAAGCAATGATGCCTATGTTACTACCATCGCTAAAATTCGACTTCTAATGCCATTCATTAGCTTTTATCCCTAACTTTATTCATCCGCTTCATGGTTTTATTGTGAAATTTAACCGCTCAAAAAATAAATTATTTTAAGTTTAGTAAGTCTTCTTATTAGTTTTAATTTCATGACGCATGCACAGTTGATGGAGATTGGTCTGACTGGTCAGATTGGGGTGCCTGCAGTGCTCCATGCGGCGGTGGAACCCAACAGCGCAGTCGCACTTGCACCAATCCTCCTCCGTCTAATGGTGGAGCGCAGTGCAGTGGGGACTCGACCGAGTCTCAAAGGTGCAATGACGACCCTTGCGGACGTGAGTAATAGAAAACAAAAACATCCGAATTTCTTGTTATGTATTGGTCAGGTCGCGTATTATGTAATCAACCAAAAAATAGAGTGAGAAAATTGAATCTAGGTCCCGCGCTTAGCTTCGGTTTGCGATTAATGGCGTCACAAATGGAAGAGAGAGAAGACACTCGGTGGAATTGTTATTTACATGGACAGCTTTTTGATGGTGACTAAAATTCTATCTATATTTTTGTCAATCATTTAATAATTTAAAATGATCCATTACTAATAATAGGCTATATTTAGAAAAATTTATATATGTCAAAAACTAATGGAAAAATCTGTCTGCATAGTAAATTACTGTCGTTTTGATATTTAAAGAAGACAGCCCTTTTGAGCACGCGCATGTCACATAGATCAAAATTGACTGCATCTGTTTCTTTGTAAATTGTCAATTTGTAACGTCTTTGAATTGCATGACCTAAGTTCTAAATCTTTGCACGCATTACGTGCGTATGTTTCAATATTTTCTTTTTCTTCTAGCTGTGAATGGTGGTTGGAGCCAGTGGTCATCTTGGTCAGACTGCACTTACAACTGCGGTGGAGGAAAACAAACAAGAAGTCGCAGTTGCACCAATCCTCCACCTGCAAATGGCGGAAAAGACTGCCGTGGAAAAAAGTCAGGGTCGCAGTCATGCAACGAGCAGGAATGCGGTAAGTTCCGTTACTGATAGCTGGGCTGATGATAATAGCCACAAACAACATATAATAAACCAATCAAAATATGCCTGCATCTGATTGGCTGAAAAGACAAAAACATCAGGAGTAACTGAACCAATGAAATAGCTTAGAAACACAAATCAAAGCAAACCAGAAAGTGCTTTCCAAAGTGATTTGAAACCCTCTATA